ACTTTGTCCTCTGGGGGGAAAAACAAACAAACAAACAAAAACATTTTAATGTTAAGGATATATATACACATATATATATACATATACTTATTAATTTGGGATGGTAAATAGTAATTACTGACATGGTATGAAGGGGACCAGGCCTGTATCTTCAGTTGCCACTTACCAGAGCACCATTCAGAGGAAGCATTCTGCCCCACTGTATCTTAACGTTTATTTCTGTTTGATGAACCCATAAACTATGGGTGAATGATATCGACTGGTACAAAAAACAAGCCACAAACTTAAGAAGTGGTAAAACTAAAACAAAGAATTGAGACATGGCTGAAAATGAGAGAAAACACAGCCATCAGTGGCAGCTGTGCTAAACAAAAACAAAATATTGCAAGTATTGTATCAGAGAACTATTAGGTATTTGATTTTTCTCTCTTTACCTCTCAGATGTAAACAGCTGACAGAGGCACATCTATCCTCTGTTAACTTCTCTATATTGCTTTTGCTATCTAGAAACTTTATCTTCAGACACGTTTAGTCTGAAGTATCATTTAGAGATATCATCTTAATATATTGCCTTTTGTTCTGTCACATTACATATATCAATAAGGGCATACAGACACAAATTTTCCAAGTGTTCTCACTCCTCAGGTCTTTCAAATGAAATTGAATATAGACTTTGTTTAAAAGGTCATCTTTAAAATTATACACAATAAATCTAGCACCAGTAAAATATATTTTAGTTGCACTCCTCTCTCATTCCCACATTTCATCTCTATTGAATATTAAGCAGCACAAATCATAGGATAGGGCTTGTTGACTGCTTCAGACTAGCAACATTTTCTTTCACAACCAAGGGAATTAAAAGCTGAACTAGTGACATTTCAATAATTAATGATGCTAACCCAAAGACATGGGCCACAAACACTTTGTCATCTTCTTCCAAACCCTGAATCTTAGCTATCATTTCTCCTAACATTAATTCCCTATTTATGATGTTCTTCTGCATCTGCACAGCTACTGAGGAGGGAAATCATCTTTCTTCCCATCGTAAATCATGAAGATGTGCTTATCAAGTCCAAACAGAGACTCAGGAACATTTAGGAGAATGAAAAGCCAAAAATAATTTTTAAATGTCAGAAACACATAGATATTCCAAAGGTTTCTCAAGATATAAATTAATCCTACATATTTATGATAACATAAAATTAAGAAATAAAAGGTCCCATATAGTTTTGCATTTTCTAAAGACTGAATTTTATAGCCACTTAGTCATCTAACAACACCAGTGGTCAAATAATGGATCATCAGCATGACTTTAGTCAACGGTGTTACTGTGCTGTCTTGGAGCACCTGGTGAGGGAGGTATCTGCCGGCAGGCTCTTCTGTACAGGAACGCCCCCCAACACTCTCCCATGCCCCAGTCTGCCTTCCTACCCTCACTCTTCCTTCTCTGCACCGCTCCCATGTTTGGGCTGTAGATCTCACACAGCCGTGTAGTCTTTGTTTTCTCTCTAGTATGTCTATCTTCCACCTCAGAGTGTGTCCAGATACCCCCTGTCCCATGTGGCCCGTCTTCCTTGAGTGCCACCTTCCTGCTGTTTTCTTAGTCTCCAGCTTTTCCTTTGCTATCTCTCAGGATAACCATTTTTTTTCTCAAAGCCACAAAGGCAAGTTAATTTCTGTCCCCACAGGCTACTCTGTTGAAATAATCCATCTTTCCCCAAAACTCCCCTTGGGAAGCAACTGATCTCTTGCCTTGCTTCCTTCCAGTTCAAATGCTGCCTTGTGCCATGGCTGTTTGAAGGAATTTGGTGACCTTGAGCAGTGCTGGTTGTGCCTGCCTCCCACCCACCTACCTCAGCTTGGTTCCTGCTGGCTGTCACAGGATGGGAAGGAGACCACTCAGTAAGACCATGCATCCCAACCCATTTTCCCTGTGGCCATAGAACTACCAGGATCAACACAATGAAGCGTTAATTCTAGGGCTGCAGGGGCCCTCATGGGCAACACTTCTGAAAGCAAGGAAACTAGGCTGCCAGGTCTCTCCCCTCCAGCATGCAGAGAGCACATTTCCCTGCTGAAGCCTGGCAGCACCATCCACAAAAGCCTGAGCAGGAGCAGGTACTTTGCTCTTCCCATATGCCCAGGGATTGAGCAGATGCAAGGTAGTGAAAAAGCAGTAACCTCCTGTAGGGAAACAGGGAAGCATTGAAGGCACACTCAGTCAGAGTTACTACTCTGTCTTCCTTGCAGCACTCAGCAATTGCACCCATGCAGTCTCAGCCCACAGGAGGTGATCTTCCTCTCATGCTGAAGACTGAGCCTTTTCCCCTCTCCAGGGGATCCCTCACCATGGTTGCTCCAAGAGCTGGCAGCACTGGCTCTCTGTGGGCTGCTGTGGGACATACCTGGGTAGGACAGGCAGGCAGGGTGGAATATGAGAGACTGAAACAGACATTTCCCCCACTGCCCTTGCTAAACATTAGCATAGGCGTCCAGAGCCATGGATGTTATACAATAGTCTAACGTAACAATAGTTAAAAAGTAAAGCAGGTATTTATCTTTCATGTCCTCTAAAGAACAAGAAACAGAAACCACAAATCAAAATAAGTAAATAAGCAAAGTAAAACTATCATCAAAATAATTCTCTCGTACAGAAAGATGCAAGGAAATAAGGGGCATTGTTCCTGTTTATGCAAAAGAAATATCCAGAAGAAAACCAGCAGAAGCACATTACAATATAGGATAACAGCTATCTTTTTCTATTGAGAGAATGGTTATTTATGGTTTAGGTATTGCCATAAATGCAGACTTGTTAAACTGTCATGAAAATTTTCATGCACAAGCACAACACTTACTTCCCCAACCTTCCAAGGACCATAAAGAAGTAGAAACAAAATACCCTGGTAATAGTCTTGTTTTCAAAGAAAAGATACACGTCTGGGAGATATAAACTTTTTCACATTTTCTGTAAACGTAGATCACTCTTTGTAAATATGTATAGAAAAGTAACATACCCCAAAGACTAAGTTTAAGGAACAATAAAATAGTTCAGGGGCTTAAAAAAAAATAAAATTCTCCCTGTGCATAAATCAGAAATCTTCCTCTCCCCTAGGCTGCTGAAATACAAACTTGCAGCCTGGCAGGGAAAGAAAAGAGCTCATAGTGGGAGGGAGAGGACAGCTGGGAAAGAGGACCGCCAATACCTTCTGCCCCATCACTGACAACCCATGGTAACAAAACCCACACAACAAAGCCTATGACAACACGCTCATGTTGTTAAGCCAGGCAATATGTGTCAAGATTCTCCAGAACATTTCTCCCCACGAAAGACAATTTAAATTAAGGAATTTGTGCAAAGGTCTATTTCAGCAAATGTTTTTTAATCAAAACCTAATCCAACCAGAAGTCTAGGTGATGGATTGCTTCATACACATATCGTTTTGATTCAGCTTAATTTTTTTCAACCATTGCCATTTGGCTACTGACACTGTGCTCTGGAAACCATTCCTTTGCAGTGACGGTCCACAGCAAGGATCATCACGCACCACAGTTGGAAACAGGAATCTCCTCTGCTGTTAAAGTCTCTAGCATTATCTGCGACACTGAAGGAAAAAGAAACAGAACAAAACCAAGAAGTCTGCACATACTGACATCTCATTCAGAGCACTGGCAACCTGCTCTGCTCATGTGCTCACTGGGCCTGTCAGACCCTCATCTGCTGTCCTTATGAATCCTCCTCTCCCTCAGTGGTAACACTGCACATCTTGCAGATGGAAAACCAGCCTCAAAACCAAGAGAGGAATGATAAGCATATTTGTTGTGGAGGCCTGACTCTGTGATCTTACCCTGCTGGTATGCCAATGGAAAACGTCCAGCTGAATTTGGCTACCAGAATTAGGGCCCCATCTGAGGCACAGTGCTACAGGAGGGCTGAATCAAAGCAAAATCCCATTCAAAGACAGGCCTTTGGAGAAAACTCACAGAGGAACTCAAAGCAATAACCTTCCAAAGATAACGCTTACTTTTGAAGGAGATAGCAATACTGAGGGACCTACTCTGTGGGCAAAGACAAGGAAGGCAGCTGTCAATCCATTCAATATCCAGCTACCTCTTTCCATGGTGACATGGCACCTTATCTGTCACAAAGCTTGTCAGCAAAAAGTTAAGCCCTGAAACCATTTTGTATACATTTAAATCCAGAAGTTAGTTGATATCAGCTAAAATAAAGCATTCACTTTATCTGGCAGCTGTCTTCCTGATTCTGGCTGCAAAAAACACACAGCCTGAGTGATAAATAATTAGCAAGCTTAGGTACTCAATATGTATTTGGATTACTGCAGCAGGCAGATAGGTACAGAGTTCTAGACTGAAATTAATATTTAAATCAAATAATAATGAACACTGTTATCTGTGTTCTTCATCTGCCACATGATCTGATTTGCCTACCAAAAAGCAGAAAGAAAGGACTCACTTTGGGCAGACAACCTTTTTTACCCTCCCACAAGGAAGACAAGCATTATACATCATGCCTGTCGAGATCAAATGTAAAAAGCTTTTTTATTAAGCACCATGCTGCACATTCCTCTATACAAAAAAGCCCTAGGAGCTAACATTTTTAGTGTTGAACTCCTGTAGCGCGTGATGGCCACAAATCAATAGACATCTGAATCACAGGGCAAGATTTCCACAGCATTTATTTATTTTTTCCCCCTTCCTTTCAATGAACAGCAGTTGTTACAGGTGTAGTGTACACCTTCCCTTTATCTCACGCTATAAGGCTCTTAGATCCCTTAGGTGTCTAAAGTGGGATGCAAAAGGTGACGAAAAAACAGATGACAGGATATAGGATTTATAACTCTTTTTATTATTATTGTTATTTATTTTCTTTTCTATTTTCTTTTTTTTGTCCCTGTCCTTGTCCTTGTCCTTGTCCTTGTCCTGTCCCTGTCCCTCTCCCTCTCCCTCTCCCTTTCCCTTTCCCTTTCCTCGCCCCCCCCCCCCCCCCACCCGCCGCCATTTTGTGCCCAGCCCCGCCGCGGAGGGGCGCGGCCTCCCGCCCGTCGCACCCGCTGACGTCACGCCAGCTGCATCGCGACGTGGCCTTAGCCGGCGGAGCACCCGGTAATGGCGGCCTGGGGGGCCTGAGGGGACCGGGGGGCGACCGGGGGGCGACCGGGGGGCGGCGTGGGGTCTCGTAAAGGCCGGCCGGGCCGGGCCGGGCCGGGCTGGGCTGGGCTGGGCTGGGCTGGGTTTCACGTTACCGGCAGCCCTCAGGCATCTGGTACTAACTGCTCCTGGGGCTCCCTTCTTTCAGACAGCCTCCCCTTTCGCCGTACGCGGCAGCAGCTCTGCCAACTCTGCCCGCCTGTCCCTGCGGGTGGCCATGGACCAGGTGATGCAGTTCGTGGAGCCCAGCCGGCAGTTCGTGAAGGACTCCATACGGCTGGTCAAAAGGTGCACCAAGCCTGACAGGAAAGGTAAAGCGGCAAGCGGTGCTTATTCCTTCCTATATTTTAATGTGTCGTGTGTATGAGTGGTTTTGTTTCACTTGTCCCGAGTGTTCTGAGTGCTCTTCAACTGATTTATTTATTTAGTTAGTTTTACTGACACCTTTTGGAGTCGATCAGCAAGAGATTTCATTCATTGTCAGATTGGCAGGGGTTTTAGTGGCTGCTGACCACCATGCTCCACTTCATGGTTCCCATCTTAAAATAACTGGGCCTACCAGTTAGGGACTGCCCTGTTGTGGGGACTTAAGATGGTGTCTTAGTGTGACAAACATAATTGCAGCTTTTCCATTTTTGATTATGTATTGGGGATTATTGTCAGGGCCTATAGGGGAATGAAAGAACAATAATGGAATAAATGTGCCATGAGTTGTTATGGACTGTGGATCTATCCAATTCTGCTTACTGCTATTTAAAAAAAAAAAAAAAAGAAAAAAGATCAGTTCTATGCTTTGTGGGAAGCATCATCATCTTGCTTAATAATCTCATCTGTCTTCTGAAAAAAACACATGCTTGTTTCTCAATTGTAATGCTGTTTGCTCTTGAACTGCTTCCAGTGTTAACGTGATCGCTTTCCAAAGACAGCTCTCTCCTGAGGTCACTAGTGAACATCTCTAGTGAACTTCTCCTGTATGCCATACGCTGGGCTTCCTAGACTAAATTTTCTTTCTGTTTTTGCAGAGTTCCAGAAGATTGCAATGGCAACAGCGATAGGCTTTGCAATAATGGGATTTATTGGCTTCTTTGTCAAATTGATCCATATCCCAATCAACAACATTATTGTGTAAGTAAATATGAAACTTCAAATTGCCAAGTTCTGCATTCATTTTTACCTGTTCGATTTTTAAACAGAGTTAGCGAACCGTTACAGGATTCATGTTGCTTTAGTATCTTGTGCATTTCACATTTTACTATAATATGACAGGTATTGGTAGGTAAATGTTCAAAGAGCTTGCTGAGGAAGTAGATCATTAGTAGATCATTGGGTTCACATCTTAGCATACTGCGAAATATTAGATCCATTGTTCTTTAATTTTTCTAGGATGTGCTTCAAAAATGAACATCAAATATCTTTGATTTCCAGAATTTCAGTGTATTTTTACCTGTAGAACAACTACCTTATTTGGATATTGCATACTCTTAACTGTTTCCAGTTTATAATTTCTGAATCCAGAATAAATGCATGGAGGGAAAGATAAAGAAAACTGTGATTATTTTGGAAGATGGCAGTGCACAGAACGAAGTACTCTTTCATTTACTAAATGCCAGATATGTTTGGAACTCTTGTTTTTTATGTAATATCATAAAATACCTTTTGAGGTAGATGTTGCAGCATGAAAAACTTCACCCTTAGATTTGATTAGCAGCTGTGGTACTTGCATACTAATGGCACTAGTTGAAACTCAGATTCTTCAGAGCTGATGTCATCCCTTTTCCAGTTGGGTTTTCTAACCTGTGCGGAACAGATAAAATACTGTTCTGGGACTGTGAAACATGGCTCACTTAGGCCTCTAAGAGTTGTCCTCTAAGCAAAGAAAAATGTTTGAAAATAGGAGTTAGCTGTAATGGTAATACCTTCCTAACAAGGCAATGAAGGGAGGCTAAATTAGACTTCAGATGGGATCACTTGAAGGTACTCAGTTAGTTGAAACTGATTATTCTGTTCTTTCAACAGAGGCGGCTGAATGCTCACGGTGAAGAACAAGACATCGTGACGTTTGCTGCAAAGATTTCACAGCTTTGTAACTTGTTCACTATTAAAACAGTTTTGGGCTTTTGCACATGGTTGTCATCTTATTTCTCTTTCAAAGTGCACGCAATCATACTTACCTACAGTAAGTATTTTTTTTAAAAAAATAAAACAACACAACATTTATTGTTACAGTTGAATGAATAATTCAAGTAGGAAGGAACCTTGAAACACCCCTAGTCCAACCTCCTGCTTAAAGCTGGGTCAGTGCTGCATTCTGATGAGGTTGCACAGGGCTTTGTCCTGTTGTGTCTTGAAAAACTCCAAGGGTGGAAATTGTACAGCTTGTCTTCAGAAGCTGTTTGAATGCTTAATTTGTCTTTCAGTAGACACTATTGTTCAGCAAAAGTAGGCAGTGGAAAACATCATTACTGTAACCTCTCAAGTGGTGACTCAAAAGTCTATCAGCTGGAATTGTTGTCATTACTTTCTAGAATCACTATCATTACCCCTAATTCTTTCTGCATTTGGAATTCCTATTAGGCTGTATTACGTACTTGACTGGAAAAAAATCCATCAAAAAACACACTTGCGTTGCTGACACTATGCTGATGGCAGAATTAAGGAAGCAAAACTTGGTTACGAGGATGTGCAGTTGGAGTTTAATTTAGTTTTCAGAGATACTAAGCAGTCTTTGAGACATTCAACCACAGAGTTGTTCAGACTGCTGGACAGGATGTATATCCTTACTGATTGGTTTTGGATACTGGTTCTGTCAGACAACTACACATAAAATTGTAAAGGCCTCTGCATGTATTGACCAACTGATTTCACTTATTAAATGACTGAATACTCTGATTTAAAAACTAAGCCTGCGGAAATTGGTAGATGCAATGCACTTCATATTGAGAGCAAGAAACATGTATTTCACTCCAAAAACCTTGCTGTAAATATTTGGTAATTGTAGAAGTTACAGTGCTACTGTGTGTTACAGATTTTTAAAATCAGTTAATATTGTGAAATCCAATATTGGTATTGCAGCAAAACCAAAGCTGCTTCAGTGGACATGCCTTACAAGTAGGAAGTTTCAACTATCACTCTTATTCAGTAATCTTCACCAGCACCTATTAGAAATAGGGAAAGAGAAACATTTGAAATTTACATTTCATGCTATCACTTTTTCATAACGAAGTTTGTTTACTGTATTTCCTTTTGGTAATGGGGGGAAAATAGTTTAATATTGGGATAAAATACACTGTAAAAATATCCAAACCATCAAAACAGCAGTTCTTTGCATCCGGTTCTGATTGCAGTCATATGGGATGGCAGAATGTCTTCTGATCAAGTAGTGAGGTACTGGAATGAAGTACTCAGTTGTTAATCATTTTGATTTGGTCATGACTTCTATTTCAGGCCTGTTTTCCATTCAGTACATAAAATCAGTGCATGCTTATTCCTGTAGGAACAGTTTTATTGTCTTGATTCAGAGAAATTTGAAATTTTGGAGAAATGTGAGTTGGATCAGAAAAGGCAGATGTAGTTCATCTTATGTTTTGATAGCCATCGTCCACAGCAAAGGCTTGTCTGTCTCAATGGTCACAATCCCAGAGTTGTCGTAGGTATTGGAAGTACTGACGAGTGTTCCAAACTTCAGCACCTGGTTAGCTACAAAAAAAAAAAGAGGCTTAGTGGTACCCATGAAACAGCTCAGTAAATCTAATGTAGATAAATGATATCTAAAATAGGTGTTTTTGTTAAATATTAATTGCGGTGTAACATTCTTCATGTCCCTGTTCGGGTGCCATTTGTGGCGTAATGACCACACGGGCACCAGGGTTCTTTAAGGATCAATAACTTCTACTACTTTCTTGAGGACATGGCTTCCACTTTTTTACTGAGGACATCCTCATGGCCTCATTGTTAAGAGTACGATGTTACCACCAACCATGGGGCTTGTCGACCCCCATGGCAATACTCCCACAATTAATTTAAAATACTAATTATAAGGCTTGTATGAAACACTATCAGATGACTTGTAGAACAAGCTGATACTTAATCCCTAAATGATCATTTTGAGTTTACAGCAGATGATTACAAGAACACATAGTTGAATGTTCCCCAGTGTTTCACATCTGTAAATTCGTATTTCATTAGCTCTGCTCAAGTACAGTTCTAGATGAGGTATTTCAAGTAAAATGTGGCAGAGGGTCTCACTGCAGTTCCAAACATAAGATTTGCTTTAGCTCAGCAGCAAGGCTACTGTATCTCACAGTTCTAGAGCAGAGGCTGGCAGCTAGTGGTATTATTTAACACCTCTGCTCTGCAGTAAGTGACTTACATCTCCTGTCGTATGCGTAGTGAGGTAGGTGTCCATCTGCATTAGAAACCAAGTGGTGTTACTCTATGACAAATAGCTAATGTCATTTCCAGGGGAGATTAACACTGCAGCAGTGCAGCTGTAGAAGTTTTAAACGATTGTTTTGTACTGTTTTAGCTGATGTTTTAAGGGTTGCATAAGCTTCCTGCAAAGATAAAAACTTCCCCCAAACAATGCAATTTAACCTTTATCCTCCCTTTCTTCACTTTCAGAGGTAATGTGCTTGTGTTTGCAAACATATGAACTTTTTGAACATGCATATATGCCCCAAAAGCACACTAAGGCTAGTCCTGTATTAGTCCTTGTAAAGGTTCACAATAAAAACTCCTAGAACTGTCCTTTCTTAAAAAGTCTATAAAACAATCCAAATGACAAGTGCCAGGTGGTGATCAAGAAGTGTGCAAAGCAACTTAGGTTCTATTTTGGGGTTTGTACAGGACAAAGATAAATTTTCCAGTCGTGGATGTGAACATGGGCTATAACAAACTGCTGTGCAGCAATGTAGTAACACACGGCATGCTATGATGTCCACAGTTGCTATAAGCAACACAGGGTTGACCCTGCCAGGATGTATGGAGTAAAAATGAGGGACAGTCTGACAAAGGGCAGGGAACACAGCATGGTTCATTGTCTTGTGCCAAATCTGCACTTGCCTGTACTAGTTCCTGTTCCCACTCTAGTTACTGGCCTGAAATGCAGTGAAGAAGTGGTTTCAGCTGCTAGACAAATGTGGTTGGAAGGAGAGAACAACACCTGAGTTTCACTGCTGCTTTAAACTGAAGATTCCTGCCATCTTGGGAGCATGGAGTATAGCTGCAATGCAGTGCAGATCAGCAAGGAAAAAACAACAACAACACACACACACACACACACACACACACAAAAAAAAACAAAAACAACAACAACAACAACAACAAAAAACAAAAAAACAAAACAAAACAAAAAAACACACAACACAAGAAGTGCTGTACTAGCCTAGTTATGTACCTAAAATAAAGCTGCTAGATTTCTGTCAGGATGATTTTGGACACTCATTGGCGCTAGGCAGGGTACTAACCAAATGGCAAGACAAATGAGTTCTGGTGTTTGCCTTTGGTGAGACAGCAGAGGCTGACGGGGCTGAGCCGTGCTACAAGGTGATGCCCTGCACTAGGCTGCCAGAGAAGCTGGATTTCACCCTTCACAGATAAGCAGGTCGTTTAATGAAGACGAGGTCACACATGGGCAGGGTTCCCCATGTAAAAATACTGCCAAAATCTACTGTTCTAAGAACTGAATTTAATACTGACTGGAAACATCCATAACTTGGTATTTAGCTTAAAATATTTGTTGACACAGGAAAAAAAATACAAACATTTGTGGTTGCTGCATAGTGAAGCTTGAAGAGAAGGAAATCCCCAAACTGTGTGGAGACACACAGTTTCTTACTCTTCTTTTGTATAAACCCACTCATTTAGTGTCATTTATTGCTTCTTGCTCAAGACTATCAGAATAATTCTTCCTGTTACAGCTTTGCATATGAAATAGCAGCTTTGTAGAAGGCGAGAATTAAGAACATGGCAGCTTAATGAAACAAAATCTAAAGCAGTATTTCCTCATGCATAAAACAAAGTGAAAATCCTGCTTTTTTAATAAAAAGTTCTTCCCCACTAGATGGAGCTTTTTATCTTTACCAGATTTTCTTCTGTGCAAGAATCACGGTTTGAAATGCTGAAGTGAAAAATGCAAAGTGAAAAACACTGCTGTTGATTCACATTGCTCAAATGGACAAATTCCAATTACTTGGTTTCACAACCAGCCAACATCTCAACTAACATAATTAAAAATGCATGCTTTCCATTCAATAAATGAACAGTAATTAATGTGAAAAACTAGGTTTAAACCAGTAGAGGAAATAACAGGATGTACATACCTACTGCTTCTAGGAAAACTTCCTACTGTGCCATGCATTATGATGTGAAGTTTACAAGGTCAAAGAAGTGGGAAGTTCTATCAGTTCATACCTGAGCCATTCCATTTTTTTTTTTTTAATAGCTTTTGGTCCAACTTGTTAAGTCCTAGCAAGAGCTTATGCCTTGGGAAAAACCTATTACCGAAAAAACATTCTTGCTGTTGAGGTTATTTTTCTCAAATGCCTTCCAAAGAAAACAACCTTTTTAATGTCTAATAATTAGTATTTACAGTTTTGATGGGTACCAGAAATTATTTTAGTAATGGATTTCCAATTGTGATTTATTTTTTATTTTTAACCTCAAACTGGAAAATACCTGGGATGTTTAGAATTCTCGAAATAAAAGACATTTTATTTTGGATCATTGAAAATGTTCTTTTAGACAAAGAATGGCATTTTTTTTTATGAGAGATTTTGACTGCTGATTTCAATGAAAATAATAAGAATGTTTCAGCAAAAACAACAAATTCCTCCCCCCCTCCCCCCAACACCTTCCAGCAGCATAAGGCACTTTTTTTTCCCCTGAAATTCTGCTTAGTGCTTTGGTTCCAATTGAACTGGTTACTGATAATAAAGTGTTTGTGAGAAAAATACTCGACCCAGCTCTTCCAATGTAGCTGTACTGTTTTTCATCGCTCTCCATCCATAAAGTCAGCGTGTCTCAGTGGCAACGAGTCTAGGTGGCCGTGCCTCCAAGGAAAGCAGCGGGGATTACAGGAGAACATAACTAAGTAGTAGTTCTGAAGTCTGACAGCTCTGGAGTTTAGAACTAAAAACAAATGCTATTCCTGTCTTCTTGCAAAAAAAAAAATTAGAATGAAGATACAAGTTTTTATGGTGTACTCCATGTTCTTATAGTATCAAAAGATTCTCAAGATTCTCATTTCTGATGGATTGCAATGTATCACTAATTCAGACCTACATATGGTCATGGGCAGGGCTTATTTTGATGTGGAAGTAAAGGAAGGTTTTTCTAGCCGCTACTATTATATATAGCAGGTGGTTGAATCTGTCAGGTCTTGAAAATGTTAGAAATAATTTAAAGAAGAAATATGAAGGCTCATAGATGAGCTTCCCAAAGGAGCATAATGACAAAGATCATATTTCTTAGATGTCCCTTTGGCTGACCAAATTATATGACAAAGGAGGAGGCTTCATTAATCCTGAGAGTGCCTACTTCCACTATTTTATACTATTTTATAGCTGGTCTTTTGATACTTTTTTTTTTTTTTTTAAATACACATGACACTGACGATGCAATGTGGGAAATGTTAATCTCAGCTGAAAGACTGTGAAAGCTGAAAAAAATCTCACAGTTGTCAGAACATCTGGAAATGTGAACCAAATGTACTCTGTAAGTAATCAAGCTGTATATATATGTGTGTGTGTATTGAGATATATTTATATACGTCTGTGTATGTTTATAACAGACATGTATATAAATACATTTATATATATATAAAACAAAAAAAATCTCAAAACTAAAAATACATTTATAAAACTCTTACCATGATTATATCTCTACCATGGTTGGGAGTTTTACTTTTTAGTTGTCAGTGCTGAAATGAGACCTAAGCTTGCTGCCAGCTGATGTGTCCACAGCTGCACTGCATGCTTTCAGCCTGGAAACTGAGCAAATAGCACGGACTCTAATTACAGCTAGGTTTGGCCTTGCGGTGTTAGGTGCTGCAAAACACTAACTCAATATGAGGTTACTCCTCAATAACTATTCATGATCTAGTAGACTTGTAAACATTATTTGTATGACTGCATTGTATCATTTAAGACACTTCCAGAAAACAAACAAACAAAAACCTTCTATTAAGGTTGAATACACATCTTACAAGCTGCACTGAAGCATGACTTGAGGGTGGCATACACAGAGAAGAAATTTCTTCTTACACATACCATATGTGGCAAAAGCAAATCATGTCATTAGTTTGAAAGGCTTAATTGAATGAGCAAGCCCTCTGGTTATTCCTACATCTGTACACATTTGGCTCTGGACAGTCAATGGGCACCTAATGGACATGTTTAGAGAGGAACTTATGAGAGCTCAGTCTTCCTGTCAGTCGTGCCTGATGTCTTTCTCCAAAGACATTTAGGCAAATGGAAGCCTCTTAGAAACCCCTGGAATGCAGTCTGACATAATAATGCAGTGGCATATCATAAAGGCCCCCACTTCATGGAATTCCAGCAATGATTCAGGGTCCTACTGCTGTGACAACAAGTGTTTGACAGCAAACACCCTCACAAGAAGTCTAGCATACACAAATACTGTGATATCTACACTACGTTTCCTTTTCTCAACCGTATGTCTCAATTACTTTCTGAAAT